ATCTATCTATCTATCTATCTATCTATCTATCTATCTATCTATCTATCATCTATCTATCTATCTATCATCTATCTATCTATCTATCTATCTATCATGTCTGTCTGTTTGTCTGTCTGTCTGTCTGTCTGTCACTTTTCTAAGCCACCTATCTCCCTCAAAGAGGGACTCTGGGCAGTCTACAGTTAAACATCAACATATAGAACAGTATATAAAAATTAAAATGTTACATTTTTAGAATTAGACAGACAGATTAACAGAGTTGGAAGGGACCTTGTAAGTCATCTAGTCCAACACCCCCCACCCCCCGACCAAGCAGGAGCCCCTATACCTGTGGTGGTAAACCTATGGCATGTATGCCATAGGTGGCATGCAGAGCCCTCTCTGTGGGCACGGGCACTGTTGCCCCAGTTAGGCTCTACCGCACATGCATGCGTGCCTCCCACCAGCCAGCTGGTCTTCGGGTCTCTGCTGCGCATGTGCAGGGGGTGGGGTGCATGCATCTATGCAGTGCGCACATGAATGCAGGGCACATACATTTGTAGGGGGCCTGTGCATTGCATTTTGGGTATGTGCATGCGCTTTGGGTTTGCATGTGTGCGTTTCACTGCCCTACACCATTTCTGACAAATGGCGGTCCAGTCTCTTCTTGAAAGCTTCCAGTGATGAAGCTCCTACAACTTCCAAAGGTAAAGCTGTTCCATTGGTTGATTGTTCTCACTGTCAGAAATTTTTTCCTTATTTCCAGGTAGAATCTCTCCTTGTTCAGTTTCCATCCATTATTCCTTGTCTGGCCTTCAGGCACTTTTAGCTTGACACCCTCCTCAATTGTAAAAAAAAAAATTAAAAATAAGATGGCAAGAATAATTAAACCCTGATAAAAATCAGTTGACAAAAGCAACGTGACAGCTGCCATGGAACCAACCAACCCCACAACTGCATCTTCCTTTGGACTCCCCACACAAGACCACAGAGCCATGTTTTAACTTCCTTTCAGAAGACCAGGAGAGTCCATCTCATCTGTGTGGGGAAGAATATTCCATGGGGTGGGGGCAACAGCAGAGAAGGCTCTTTTTCTAAACCCTGTCAGTCACAGTTCCTTAGCTGAAGGGACCTGCAATCATATTAATCTGTTCTGACCCAACCGGGTTCCCAAAGAGCAAACACTGAGAAAGGCAGCAGCCCCCACCTTTTAAGGTTTAATAATTAATTCTGTTCCTTTACAGATAAAAGGCTGCTTTCCACTAATTAGCTCCAACAAGAAAGAGCCTTGCCAAGTTGTTTGTCAATGCTGCCAAAAACCCAGAGATAAGAACTAATTTACAAGATTCTCCAAACACAAACTAAGATGTCCACTAGTTGAGCTTCAGAGCTTCTTTGCTGTCTGCAAAGAACGCTTTTCCAAACCTGGCTTTTATCCTCTTGAGGGAGGGGCCATTACCTTGCAGCCTTACTCCTGAGTCACCTGTGCTGCTGTAATTGTTCTTTCCTCCGAGCAATCCTTCATGCACGTGCACTTGGCATAGGCTCCTCAGGAACCTCCTCATCACTGCTGCCAGCCACCACAATCTCTGAAGGCAGCAGTCCACTTCCTGATGGTCCTGGCCCCTCATCAGAGTGCTTGCTCTCCTCAGCCATCTGCACCTGCTGCCGGCTAACCACAACATAATCAAGTTTCTAAACATTTTCAATATGATTTCTACCTCTACTGTTTTATTTGGTCTTCCCTAATTTCTCCTCCCTGTACATTACCGGAAG